CCGAGATGACATCGCTACAGTGGGCTCTACCTGCGCTTGGCCATGGACATCCGAGAGCTAATGCACATGAACACCGACTTCTTGCTGGGCCCCGCCAAACGGGGCTCCGCCCCCCCAGTCGCTCGGCGCGGGCCGCCTGTGCGGAGAGGGGGTGCGAGACGCAGGCAGGGGCTGCCGCTGCGGGCCCCTTCAAACGCAGGTGGCCCTGGCCCTGATCGAGGGGGTCGAGTGCCTGGAGAGCAAGAAGCTACTAGAGGCCCCAGTGGAGACGTACGAATGGGCCCAGCATGTCTTGACGGGGTGGCTGGACATGGCGAGCGCCTCCAAGAAGCCCCCCCCAGATCGTCGCGGGGGCGCTCGTGGCTTGCATGCCGGCGGAAGCGCACAACAGGAAGAACGCCGGCGGCCAGAACGGGACGGAGCAGGAATCGACGACGCGAAGGGGAAGCTTGCCATTGCAGTGAACAGAAGCCCCCAGCTGGGCGCGGCGCTGAACGGGGCGACGACCAACGAGGGCACAGCGAAGCTGGACAACCACCGTGCCGACCACGCGAAGCCAGCGATGAGTCACGCGCTTTATAAGGCGGGGTGGATCAAGAGCGCGAGCGCGGGCCCCAAGACCGAGCTCGAGAGGGCGGCGGAGAGGGGGCCTCTGGCAGCCGCGGGCAGTCGGGCACGTTGGGTAGGTTCACGCAGTTCGCGTTGGTTCACGCTGTTCGCTCGGGCTCTTCCCGGGCCAGCTCTCGGGCCCCTCCCGCGACGGCCCCAAGGGGAGAAGCCTCCGTTGGTGAGGCCAGGTGTCCAGAGACTTCTGCTGAAACGCGCGAGAGCACGCGCTTGTCGAACACGTCAGCACGGACCCAGAAAGGTTCGACAAGCTCAACACATGACACAAGCCAGCTCTGGAGGCCCCACGGGGCGCCTTTGCGCCCTAGCCACGCACTACAAAGAAAAGAGGCAAAACATATTTGAGTTCAACTGCGTTGGGAAGGGGTACTTACGACGACAACCCAACACTGAATACATTTGCGTGTTCTTCACGACGACAATTCTCTCCCTTCCTCCCCGTGGTACGATGGAATCTTCTTTGGGTTGATGGGGTCGCATTGGTATGATGAGGTCGAGCAGTGTGAAGCGATGCCAGTGTCAGCGCGTATTACTGGATATTACAAGTTCGTGCAGTGTGTTGTTAGGTGGTGCTCAACGAATACTTTTTACACATATGAGCGGGATTATTGTGAGGGGTTGTGTTCTTTGCATTTTTCTCCCGTTGAGTCGGGGCATTTCAGCATTTCAACACATGTGTTTGGTGAGATCTGTTGCGTGCTACTGTGCTGCTGCCACCGTGCCGCGCACTTTCCGACAGAGCCCGGGGCTCTTGAGCTACGGGAGATCCGAATGTGCGCGAGGCCTCTTGTTGGGGGGCCTGGTGCTGGTTGACTGGATGCACTGGGCTCAAGGGCCGTCTTGCTGGGGGCCCACGGTGCCACGCCTCGCTTGTGTTTCTCGAATGACACGTTCCAAACAGGGCAGGACTGAGAACTGGCCATCAGAAGTGAATGATCCGATATTGGGGCTGCAGCAGGCTACCAACCAGGTCACTGAGGTAGGACAGATGAAAGATGGACTCGGTGGAGTACAGAAGCAGCCATTCTCGGCATGCACCACGCCGGTTGTCAAGCACAGGTGCATCGCGAAGTGCCGAGAGGAGCCCGCAGAGCGCATCAGCAACCCGCTCCACTTCGCCACGCAGGTCGCGGCCGCTTCCAAGCATAATCTGTTCCACGCGGTGAGCGCGCAGGAGAGGGGGCTGAAGGAGACCCCGAAGAAGACCCCGAGAGGGCTGCGGAGCAGTTCCACGAGAGGGGTGCCGTCCCAAATGGGCCCTGCGAGATGCCAACTCACAGGCTCTTGCGCGGCGCGCCTGCTGCAGAAAGCGCGTCCTCCGAAGCCAGGGCAAGCGAGGGCGATGAACCCTGGGACCCGCAGCAGGAGCTAGTCACGGAGCTGGCAGCGATGGCCGCCCACACCATTTGGAGAGCAGCTTCGAGAGCAGTTCCGCGCCCACTTCCACCTCCGACACTGAGTAGGACCCCGAGCGCGTGAGGGAGCGCGTTGCTCTTTCGTTGGTGGTTTTGGGTCGTTATGCGAGAGGCGGTGCCCATTTGTGGACGGCGTGCGCAACAATAGCACGGCGTTGTCGCACGATCCGTCTGGAGAATAAATGGGACTTGCGCTTTGTGGCTGGAAAGAGGCGTCCGATGCACGAGTGGATTTGGCGCGGGGCGCGACGGAGCTGGGACGACAGGTGTGCTGACTTGTCCACGGCGCTCAAGCGTTCAATGGCCTCTAGAGATGCCCCTTTGCCTTTTGCCTCTCGGACTTGCCAGAGCCTGGCGGGCCCTGCCGCTATCCGTGCGACCCGACATCGGCACCCTGCTATGTTCGACCCCTGTTCCTATCGGCCCCCCACTCGCCAACAAACGTAAGAGAGTGGCTCGCGAGGCCAGCGTTCGTTCTACGCGTGTGCTCCGAGATCCAAACCAAGCGAGACGAGAACATGAGCTCGCCTGGCAAAGATGTTGGCCCAGCGGAGGAAGTAGGACCTCCTGCGCATGTCATGCAGCAAGCGGAAAGTATCACCACGGAGTCGGGCAGCGCCAGTGGGAAGGTGGCTGGCATAGTGGACAGCGGATTGGTTCACGCCAAGGAGCATGCATACAAGCTGTCGATGAGCGTCGTTCGCACCCGGCTCATGGAGCGCAAGCAGCATAAGCTGGAGTTCGCAAAAGCATAGGGCCTCCAGCACTTGGGAGATATGATGGCGAGGATCAGCGCTGTTAAGATGGGGCTGCTTCGGGCGGAAGGAGTCTTGGCCAAACGCCCCATCGGGGGTGAGTCCCTGCCGCCGTTGCAGAAAAAACAACGAGATCGCGCAGGCCGACGAGCAGTCCTCGAGCTCCTACGAGGACGAGAACCAGTGCAAGATGGTGGCGCTCGACCTTGGCAGTGCGGAGTCTGATCCCCTGGGGTCGAGGCGTCCGACGTCGCCTTCGCCGCTCCCATGGTGGTATCTCAGCGATGAGCAGACCTGGATTCCACGCGGGCGGATCCCAAAGAACGCCAGCAAGTGGATCGACCACAGCAAGTACGACGACGACAGCTCCAAAACGGACAACAAGCTCGATATCGAGGTGCCGAAGATCTCGCGCTGCTCGAAGGAGGCCGAAGACAGCTAGAAGGAGTAGAAGGAGGCCGAGGACATGTCGGAGTAGAGTGCGTTCCAAGATTGAACTGTGCATCACGACCCCAGAACACTGGGACTATAAAGACGACTTCCGATTCAGGTTACGACTAAGGACTTGCGTGCGTCCCCAAACAAACGATTCGGGATTCGGTTTCCCAGCCTTTAGGACATGCGCGTGCAAATTCGATGATGCATCATTATTCTACGTCTTGCCCGCCCGACTCGACCCTTCCCGTCACGGCGCGCGCGTGCCACTCCCATCACGCACCATTCCTTATTGCCCCACCCGCCCGACCCGCCCATCCGCCCCGCCCGGCCCACCAGGGCGCGCGCGTGCCAGCCCGATGTTGCGTCGCTTTCCCCCCCCCCTCACCAGGTGCGACCCGATGCGCACACGAGGGCTACGGTTTGCCGGATCCGCTAGGTTGAAGACGGGCGTGTCCCCCTACAGGGCGAACATACAAAAGTAGTACAACAAACTGTCCGGGGACAATGTTTCATCATGTTTGAACAATTTTTGAATATGGTTTGATGTTTTCCGTTGTTCTCCCAAGATCCGCCGGACATGCCCGAAATAAGCCGAGAAAGGATGTGATCAGGCTTTGATTGCACATATCGGGCGTCGGCAGAGCCGCGGGCCGGTCGCAGTCGAAGGCGCGCGCCCCTGAAGCGCGAGCAAGGGTGGGATGAAGAGGGGAAGGCGAGGCACCGAGGAGGCGGAGAGGAGGGTGCAGGAAAGAAGAGGGGGAAGAGGAGGACCAGTTTCCCTCCCTCCAAGATCCCTCTTCCGAGGCCCCTTGCAAGGGGGCCATTTCCGCTGAGGGAATGGACCCGCTGCGGGACCAAAGCGCCATTTTCAGGACTCCAACGTCGCGATTCAATGTTACTGTTATTCCTTGGCGGTCCTGAGTGGCGCGAACCAGTCGTGGAACTTCCACACCGCGAATCAGTTGTGCCTTGACACTCCTGAATCTTTCCGAAACGCACGCTCTGGTACGTTAGCCATGAGAATCGCTGCAACTCCTGCGAATGTTTACAACGAACGCGCGCGGCGCTCAGGCGAGAGCCACATTTGAAAAGAAACCGCCCTCAATCCATGAAGCTGTTGCAGATGCTTGAACATCGATGCGCGCGGCGCTCAGGCGAGAACCACATTTTGAAAACGACCCGCCCTCAGTCCGTGAAATTTATGCAGGCTTTCATAACGAATGTGTGCGGCGCCCAGGCAGGAACCACATTTTGAAAACGGCCCGCCCTTAATCCGTGAAGCTCCTGCAAGTGTTCACGGCGTTCGGTCGCGGAGCTAAGGCGAGAGCAAGCTTTTGAAAACGGCCCGCCCTTAATCCGTTAAGCTTCTGCAGATGTTTGGAAAATATTGGGCGCGGCGCTCGCGCGAGAGCCCCATTTTTTACAAACGGCCCACCTTCAATCCGCGAAGCTCTTGCCAATGTTCAAGACGAATGCGCGCAGCGCTACGTCGAGAGCCACATGTTGAAAATGCGCCCTCCAACAGCCTCAGGGGAAACGCCGGGCCCGCCCTGTCGACCTGCCCCGGGGTGCTACAGGGAGGAGATACCTACAGGGAAGTGGGATGGAGGGAGCAGGTGGAGGGAGGAGGGCAGAAGAGGGAGCGAGGAGGGAGGATCCAGAGGAGGGAGGATTGGCAGTGAGCCCCACAGGGCGGCCGCACAGGGCAGCAGGGGCCGTGCAAATGCGGCCAGGGGCGCGCGCGTGCGCGGCACGCGCTCTGCAGGACCTGCGCGCGGGGATCTCGGTGAAGGAGCCCGCGGCCGCCCGGCGCCCCTCCCCAGAGACCCAACGCGTTGGAAGGTAAGAGGCATCTTGGGCTGACCGCGGAGGCTGCTTAGGAGATCGGGTGTTTTTAGGCGGATGTCAATGCGGCTTTCTCTGGCCGAACCTGGCTCAGGAGTGGGCTACGAGCGCCCCTAAGTGGCTTAGGGGGGTAAGACAGATCCACTGAGTGGGCGGAGCCCGCTTAGCCCGGATCGCTAGCCCCCTAAGTCACTTGGGGCACTTGTAACCCATTCCTAAGTTAGGTTGGGCTAGATTGAAGTCGAGCGTGTCCCTCTACAGGGGGGAAGTTCGAAAATAGTCAAAACATAGTCTGGGGACGATTGTCCGATTATTGTTGGATTAGTTTGGTGTATGCTTTGAGTAGTTTTGATTGTTCGTCCAACATCTGCCTGTAGGGGGACCTCCCCGACCTGAGGCTAGATGTATCGAGCTTGGCTTCCGCTTACAACCCCCCCCCCTCGCCTGAGCACCCCCCGCGGCATCCCGGCAGCTGCTGCCGCCGTCCTCGGCACCTGGAGGCCCTCGGCTGGCCCCGCGGCCGTCAAAAACGACTCCGAGGATGAACAATGCCGTGTTGGTGGGCAGGACCTTCAGGCCGAGTTCCTCCTTTTCGGAGGACGGCGTTCTTTCGCAGCCCACAGTGCCCTCTGGCAGATCGCGCGCTGAGCAATGCCAGTTCCCCGAGAGGAGGTCCAGACTTCCAGGAGGCCAGTACTTCACCACACACCAAACCACCCCGACCAGATCCGAAGGCCCACGTGCATGTTCGATTCCCAGTGGGGTGGGGGTCGGGGAGCAATGAGAAGCACATGCAGAGCCCGTGCTCCCCCCAACCCGAAATTGGGGGCTTCGGAATAGGTTGGGGTGGTCTGTTAGGTAACCAGTACCACGGAACCCGGGCGACGTAAGACTCGAGCGCGCCAGGAGTTGGGTTCCCTGACGCTTTTTGACAAGCGCGCCTTGGATATTGACTGTCGAGTGTTCGTGGGATGTCTGCAGCGGGAGCTCGCGTCAACTTTCAGATTGGGTTCCGTCATTTTCCTGATGGCCCCGCCGGGCCAAACCGAGCCCCCCGGCAGAAGTCAAGGCGTCGGAGCGCTGGGTCCCTAGCGCAGTGCCCCGGCGTTCTGCGCGGAGGGGGAGGGGGGCGGCACCACTGAGTCGGGGGCGGAAAAAAGGGGGAGGGGATGACTAGGGGGGGGGATATCATGGCGGGGGCCATGATATTTCCCCAGATGTCATGGCACATCTTCTTATTTCATTATGTCCCTGCCCCCCCCCCCCCCTTGGGCCGCGCACGTGCCGCCGGCCATGATTTGCACCCCCCCCTCTTAGACACCCCCCTCTTGGCCGCCCCCGAGGGGAGGGGGGCGGCGCCAGCCTGAAGCATGCCCCCACTGGGATCGGCGCGGCTTTCGGAAGGGTCCGCCAGGTCTCGACGGGAATCCATCCTCGAGATGCTCAGGGGCGGCCTCAACGACCCGTAGCAAACCATACCCTTCCATGACGTCCCCCTCGCCGCGCCCAAAGACGTATGCATGCGTCCAGAGGGGAGTTCGTAAGGCGAGGATGACGTCACAGAAGGGGATGGTTTGCTAGGGGTGGGTTAGGTCGCGCCCGAGATGCTCTCCAGCAGCTGCGCCTCGTCGAGAGCTTTCCTGGGGTGCCTGGATCGTCCAGAACAGCCGCTGGAGGCTCGCTATTGCCCGAAAGCCAAACGGGACGGGAGTACTGGAATCGGCGCGGGGGGTGCTAAGGGGTTAAAGGGGGTCGTCCGTGTACGTCATGGTGGGCTATATCTGGCCTGAGGTGGCATATAAGTGAACTACATATGATCCAAGTACCTTAGAGGGTTAACGATTTGAGCTAAGTGGTCTCCGCCCATGAAGCAAGGTTTTCTTATCACCCTGAACCAGTCGGGGCATGTGTGACACACTGATAAGGTAGGTTCGGCCAAACATTCCCGAATGTGTGAGTGTTGATTTGAGTGTTGGCTGAGTTTCGAACCTAGTGATTGATTGCAGTGCGGTCAGCACGGTCACGCCACCAGGCATATACACTTCTTGCAGTTAGTTGTTTTCGTTCGTCGTTGGTTCAGAGTGGGAAGACGGTTTACAAGTTCATTTGTTTGCGTCGACGTTCGGCATGCCTGCTGGTCAATCAGAGAAGAAGTAGCCCATGTTTGCATCCACCGAGAACAACCCCCACATTCCCTGAACAACCCCCGTGCCGACCCAGGCTCCTCGGCGTTCTGCGCGGGGGTGGGGGGGTGTCCAGCCTGAGGCACATCCCTATGTCTGTGATTGGCATCCCCGTATCTCGATGCTGATCTGGAGAATTCCCTCGGTTTCTGAGATCGCGTCTTCAAGGTTGTCATCGCCTGTGGGCTCGTCAGTCGTCGGGGCAGGGAAGCTCGAGGCTGTTCAGGGGGAGCGCTCCCCAGGACCCATCGCGTGCGCGGCGCCCTGCGCCGGAGCGTGGGGCGCGGTGGTGGTCACCGCAGAAGGGTTGCAGGTCCGGAGCGGAGCAGCACGCTCGACGACCACGACCACAGTGGAGGCAAATGCCAAGAAACACCCGGCTTGCCTCCAGGGTGCCCTGGGTTTCCTGGGTTTCGCTGGCTTAGCTGTGGAAAGCGTGACGTTCCCACGCCAAAGATTGATGGACGTCCTGGGGTCTCAGGGTTGGGTTTCTTGTGGAACGTTTCTTGTGGTCGGGCCCCTACTGTAAGGGGTGCAAGTTCGAGCGGAGCAACACGCTCCACGACCACGACGCCGACGGCGACGATGAAGAAAACGAGGCCGCGCAGACGATCCGCACCGAAGCACGGATGTGGGAAAGGGCCCACCCTGCAGTCGGGCTCTCGCAGTGGGTGGCCTTTCTTGTCGGTTTCGACCTGTTGAGGCTAGGACGAGGATCAATCCGTTCCGGAACGTTCTCGGAGCGCTCTGGAACGATCTGAAGAGGCCGCGGCGCCCGATGCATCCCCCAGATCCGCCAGATCTCGGAGATTCTCGATTCATCCGTACCCGATGTCCCCTTCGTCCCAGCGTCGTCTGATTCGGCTTCTCGAAGTTCCAGCTCTGAGATTGTAGGTTTGCGGGCGCTTCACGTTTTCGAGGTGGATCTGGGGGGGGGGGGGGGGGGCTCTCGTCGCCGCGCTGCGGCCCAGCGCGGAGTTCTGGCCAGAGCGCGCCCTCGGTGAGGTCCCGGGGTCGAGCTCCCAGTTCCATGCCTCGACGGCGAGCGAAGGGGGGGGGAAGTGAGAAGGAGAAGGCCCTCGCAGAGGGCGGCGGGGTCTCCTGAGAGGTGCTCTGCGTCTTCGGGGAAGGCTGAGAAAGCTTCTGGTCCTCCCGTCCGTCCGTCTGTCGGCCCGGTCTATCCTTCCTGTCGCCCTTCTTCCCTCCTCCCCTCTCGCTCCTCGGCTCCTCGCTGTCCTGCCCGTTTCTTGCCCTTGCCTGGCCCGCTTTTCTTCGTCGGCCTGCCTGCCCCGTGGTCCGAATCAGAGTTGCGGCGCTGCCTGGTGAGCGTCTTCGTGTTTGGAGGCTTCTCAGTGGGCGGGAAACTTCCAAGCCTGCTGAGAAGGCCCAGAGGCTGTCGGTCGGGGCGTCTCGTTCCGACGCCTCGTTGCCGGCCCGTGTCCGACGCCTTCGTGCACCGTCCTGCCCCGTTGCTCGGACTCGGGCCTGGGTCGCCTCTCCGTGGGGAACAGACCGAGTCTGCCCCTCCTCCTCCTCCTCCTCCTCTTCCTCCTCCTCCTCCCTCCTCCTCCTCCTCCTCCTTCCTCCTCCTCCTCCTCCCTCCCTCCCTTGCTCCCTCCCTCCCTCCCTCCTCTCCTCCTCCTCCTCCTCCTCCTCCTCCTCCTCCTCCTTCCCTCCTCCTCTCCTCCTCCTCCTCCTCCTCCCTCCTCCTCCTCCTCTCATCTCCTCCTCCTCATCCTCCTCCTCTTCCTCCTCCTCCTCCTCCTCCCCCTCCTCCCCCTCCACCCTCATCCCTCCTTCTCCTCCTCCTCCTCCTCCTCCTCCTCCTCCTCCTCCTCCTCCTCCCTCCTCCCCCTCCCCTGGCTGAGCGCTCGTACTTACGACGTCGCCGATCCCAGTCGGACTGAGTCTCCGCATCGCAGGTCGAGTGTCTTGGAAACCAGGGCGAAGGCCCCTACATTGTACGGTGACCACACTTTGTTGTGAGTCAGTGGGAACTCGGGGTGACCGGACGCTCTTGCGACTTGGGTCGGTGTCAGAGGATGTCTCGAGCGACTGGGGCCTCCAGGGTCCCAACGCCGTTCGGCGACGTGCCGTGCGGTGCGATCTTTGTCGGATTTCGAGTTCGCCGCGCGGTCTGTCACGGCACGGCTTTGGGACCCCCCGATCTGCAACGACGCCATTCTTCGGCGTCGTCTCTTGGGTGCCTTCTGTCGGGGCCAGGGGCTATCAGAAGTGGATCCGGGGCGAGAGACTGCCCCCATTCAAGGGATAAGGGCCTCTGATCGCGCCCGTCACCCGCGGGTGCCCAGCGCTGCGCTCTGCGCCGTTTGGGGGGGGGCTCGGGGCTTCGCAGGGGGGGGCGATCCGAAGTTGGGATTTGGGAACTCCGGTTACGAGCCCAGCTGGATTATCGCAATTCCTTCTTCCAGAGCCCATTCAGAGCGCCTTCCCGTGAGGCGCTCTCATGGGGAAGTGGGTGGGGGGGATCAGGTTTGATTCTTGTTCAGACAAATCCTGTGTTGTTAGGATCTCGTTTTGAAGAGGCGGTGCCCCGCGTCCTCCTCTCCTCTCCTCTCCTCCTCTTCCCTCCCCCAATCACCCGCTCACTTTTGCACACGCCCCAGTGGCTGCGTTCTTGGCACACCCCTCACACGTTTCGTGGCCCCATAGGGCTCCACCGAAGGCCCCAGCGGAAGCGTTCACATGCCGCCACCCCTCCACTTGGCACACCGTCACACGCTTCTTGGCCCCGTATGGGGCTCAACCGAAGGCCCCAGAGGCTGCGTTCACATGTCGCCACCCCTCCACTTTCGCACACCCCTCACAAGTTTCGTGGCCTCATACGGGATGCTCCACGGAAGGCTCCAAAGGCTCCATCCAGTAGCTGCGTCCACATACTGCCAACCCTCTTTTCTGGCACACGCTCACACGTTTCGTGGCCACATAGGGGGCTCAACCAGAGGCCCCAGTGGCTGCGTTCACATGCCGCCGTCCCTCCACTTTGGCACGCCCTCGCACGTTTCCTGGCCCAGTGGCTGCGTTCGCATGCCTATCCCCCATCTCTTTGGCACGCAGCGAGCTCCACCGAAGGCCCCCGTGGCGGTGTCCGCATGCGTTTCCCCCCAGGCAGTGCAACGCTTCGTGGTTTCACAGGGAGCTCCCCCAGTGGCGGGGTCTGCATGTTCGCATACGTCTCCCCCGCCCAGTACAGCGTTTTGTGGCCCCACAGGGAGCTCCACCGAAGGCCCCAGTGGCGGTGCTCGTATGCGCCTCCCACATCCAGTACAAAGTTTCGTGGCCCCATGAGGAGCTCCACAGAAAACGCTAGTGGAGATGTCCGCATGCGTCTCCCCCACCCCGTAGGGAGCTCCACCAAAGGCCCCAGTGACGACGTTCGCATGGCGGCCCCGCTGAATTTATGCACACCCCTCACATGTTTCGTGGCCCATATGGAGCGACACCGAAGGCCCCTATGGCTGCGCCCGCGTGCGTCCCCGCCCCAGTTCGGCACGCCCTTTCCACGCTTCGTGGCTCCATAGAGAGATCCACCGAAGGCGATGCCCACGACTGCACATCTGCACATGGTTGGGCCCTTCGCCAGGGTAATTGCGATGGTTCAAGGAAAATCTGAGGGTTCAAAAGAAACACATCCAGTCTCCGAGGCGAAATCGGTGTGAGGGTTGTGCCAAACGTGGTTGCTTCGTCGGTCGGTCGGTCGCCTTGTTGGTTTGTTGGTTGGTTTGTTGGTGGGTTGGCTGATGGGCTGGCTGGTTGGTTGGTCGGCGGGTCAGTTTGTTGGTTGTTCGGTTGGTTGGTTGGTTGGTTGAGTGTTGCTTATTGGTTGGTTAATCGGTTGGTTGGCTGGCTGGAAAGTTGGTTGGCTGGTTGGTTGGTGGGCCAGTTGGCTTGTTGGCCGATGGGTTTGTTGGCTGGTTGGTAAAATTGGTTGGTTGCACAGTTAGTTGGGTGGTCGGTTGGTCGGTTGCTTGGTCGGTCGGTTGGGTGGTTGGTTGGTTGGTTGGTTGGTTGGTTGGTTGGTTGTTTGATTAGCTGGTTCGTTGGTTGGTTGGTTGGTTGGTAAGTTGGTCGGCCGGGTTGCCCGCTTATCTATGTGACTCGTCAGTGCCCAAGGGTTGGACGAACTAGCGGGGCGGACCTAGTGGCGATGTTCACATGCGTCCCCCCTATCAATTTCGACACCCCTCATTCGGTTCGTGGCCCACTAGGGAGCTCCAGCGAAGGCCCCAGTGGCGCCGTTCGCATGCCGCCCCCCCTCTATGTTGGCGCACCCCTCGCACGTTTCGTGGCCCCACGGGGAGCTCCACCGAAGGCCCCAGTGGCGGTGTTCGCTTGCGTTTCCCTCGCCCATACAGCGCTTCGTGGCCCCAAAAGGAGCTCTACCGAAGGCCCCAGCTTCGGTGTTCGCATGCGTTCCCCCCGCCCAGTGCAGCATTCAGTGGTCCGATAGGAAGCCCCACCGATGGCCCTTGTGGCGGAGTTCGCCTGCGTGTCCCCCACCTCGAACAGCGTGTCCTCGACACAGAGAGCTCCACCGATAGCCCCAGCGGCGGCATCCACTTGCGTTCTCCCCACCCAGTACAACGCTTCGTGGCCCCACTGGGAGCTCCACCAAAGGCTCCAGTTGCTGTGTTCGCATGCGTGCCCCCAGCCAGCACAGCGCTTCGTAGCCCCACTGGGAGCTCTACCGAAGGCCCCAGTGGTGGTATCTGCATGCATTTCCCCCGCCCAGCACAGCGTTGCTTCGCCCCCTAGGGGCTCCAGCGAAGGCCCCAGTGACGGTGTTCGCTTGCGTTTTCTCCGTTCGGTTCAGCGCTTCGGGGCCCATAGGGATCTCCAGCGAGGGCCCTAGTGGCGGTGTTCGCGTGCGTTTCCCTCGCACAGTACAGCGTTTCGTGCCCCCATGGGGAGCTCCACCGAAGGCCCCAGCTTCGGTGTTCGCATGCGTTTCCCCCGCCCAGTACAGCGTTTCGTGCCCCCATGGGGAGCTCCACCGAAGGCCCCAGCGGCGGTGTTCGCATGCGTTCCCCCAGCCAGTACAGCGCTTCATGGCTCCAAAAGGAGCTAGCTCCACCGAAGGCCCCAGTTGCGGTGTTCGCATGCGTTCCATCTGCCCAGCACACCGCTTCGTAGCCCCGCGGGGAGCTCCAGCGACGGCCCTAGTGGCGGTGCTCGCATGCGTTTCCCTCACCCAGTCCAGCGTTTCGGTGCCCCATAGGGAGCTTAACCGAAGGTCCCAATGGCGGCCCCTGCCCACTGCGGCGCACCCCTCATACGTTTCTCGCGTTTCTCGGCTCCGTAGTGGGTTTCGCCTGAAGCTTCTAGTGGCAGCGCCCACATGGCGGCTCCGCCCCACATCGGCACACCCTTCGCATGCTGCATGGCCCCATGAGGAGATCTCCCGAAGGCGGCACCCTCAAAGACGGTACTCACGCCTGCATCTGGTTGGATCCCTCGCCAGGATCATGGTTCTTTTGCTGGCTCGTCGTTTCCATCCGCCCTGGGATCCCCCCCCCGCGCCCCCGGACCCCGAGTGCCGAGTCGTCTCGCGATCACGTTCGCTGGTCGTTTCGTGATGGCATTGCGCCGGATGTCCCGTCGCGGCGAAGAATCGACGCGCCTCCGGATTGCTTTCCGAGAGAGCGGGTCGCAGATGATCCCGGCCGGCGCCCCAGGACCCCGAGTACCCCGCCGCGGTCGGCAGTTATGCCCACAAGCGGGGCCTAACCAACCGCAGGCGCGCGTTTTGGAGAGGGTGGCTGTGTTTGTGCATCGGCCTCGCGACCAGGATGCAGTCAAGACTCTGAAAGAAGGACCGTTGCTGGGGCTCAGGAAGGGCTCGGGTTTTCGGGCCGTTCCCTCTGTTCATGTCGTAAAACCTGTCTGTGGCCCATGCCCGCCTTGGCCAGGGAAGCCCCTTCGTTCCTTATTACGCATTCCTTGCAATAGCACGGTGACTGTAAATCGTTCCAGAGCGTTCGGCAACGTTCTGAGAAGGCCGTGGCGCCCGATGCATCATTTATCCTTGGAGAGATCTTGAAGAAGGCACGCTCAGCAAGCGCATTGAGATTTGATGCTTCACTCGTGTTCGTAGAAATGGGAATGTAGCGTGCGAGTTGGCGCGGACGAGTGCCCTGGATCTCGCGGCGGAATGGTGTCTTCGCCAATTCTACAGGCCATCCAGCGGTGGTGAATCATGCGCCCCCTCGTGCTCTGAGCCAGTTGAACGCACCAGTCCGCTTCTCGGGAGCCTCGCGACGGGGGTCAATGCAAACGGGGGTTTTGCCAGAGCGCCGGATCTTGCAGGATCCTGCAGGGCCACGGTCGCACTGACCCAGGCTTGTGTGCAGCATCCTGCATGATCCTGCAGGATCCTTCGCGTTGATCCGCCTCTGGGCGCAGGATCTTGCAGGATCCTGCAAGATCCTGCAAGATCCTGCAAGACCCGACTGACCCAGGTCTGGATTGACCCGGGTCAGCAGATCCCCGAGGCTCCTCCAGTCAGGAGCGACGGGTCTCAGAGGTTCCCGGCTTATCCCGTCCCGCTTGCGTGCCAGATCGGAGCATTCCGTCGACAGAGTGGGCGGCACTCTGGCCCGTGGCCGTGTGCCACGGGAGGCACTCGTCCCGATCCGCGCAGCTGGCGCCCGCACCACAGATCCCGGATCCGTGCGAGCGTGCGCCCGAGAGGAGGGGGGGCACGGGGAGGAGGAGGAGGAGGAGGAGGAGGAGGAGGAGGAGGAGGAGGAGGAGGCGGAGGAGGAGGAGGAGGAGGAGGAGGAGGGGGAGGACGAGGAGGAGGAGGAGGAGGAGGAGGAGGAGGAGCCCGACGGAGAGGAGGGGGGAGAGCGCACGGGACAGCGCACGGGACAGCGACCTGATCCCAAGGGTAACGGAGAGCACGGTGCACGGAAAAGGGTTGCGCGCGACCGCCCGCTCGAATATTAGTCGCAAATCGGAACATACACGCTGGTCGTTGAAAGTTGGTATTCTTGGATTCCCAGATCCCAATCTATTTCAAGCGCCTTTCTATTTCAATAAGCGACATGAATTTGCTGTGTTTTGTTATTATCTGGGAGGGCCTGGACCCAATCCACTTTATCCGCCTTTCTACCTGATGTTTTTACATTTCTTCAGACCGACGTGTACCAGTGGCGTGTTGTTTTTCAATCCCACGATTTTTAAGGGTCAGGGACGACGTCGGGGTGGTGTGGTGTATATCTTTCCCCCGTTTCCCGAGGGAAACAAGGAAGACTGTATACACCAGGATCCCGTATACTCCAGAATCCGTTTGCCTGTGCGAATTTCAGTGCAGGGTCGGGAAAAGCGTTGGTGAATAGAGTCGCTTTCCTAATTAGCCTTGGGTACCCGTCATCCTTTTCGACCGTCTCCGCAGTTTCGGGGACGGACGTACAGACTGCACACATACAAGATCGAGATGATCGCCTTGGGTGGGGTCTGAGAGCTCCGCCTCCATGGAGACCGAACAAATCAGCACATCCCGCGCGCCAGCTCGAGGGCTCCTGAGCAGACCTGGCGAGGCTGGATGGGGGCACGGAGGGGTTGGCCCGCGTCTTTCCCCAGGCCGTCCACCAGGTCGTTCCTCCGGCGCTGCTTGACAGCGATGGCACCGTCGAGCATCTGAGCGCCTGTGACGTGAGGCTCGCTCCTGCAGCATACAGCTCGCTAGAGGCGGTCGCCGACCTCTCCCCCAACAAAGGGCCTTGGGACTCTTGGGCCCGCGAGCACTGATGTCAGGAGGGAAAGAAACACAGAGACACAATTAATCGTCCATTCCCCTGAAAATATAAGAAAGGAAGTGGGGGGAAAGACGAAAAACTTAGAAAATATTGAAATATGGGGAATCCTGTTATTTGTGTGTATTTATTTGTGTGTCCCAGGGCCCCTTCATGATGGGGCCCACTAAGCAACCAGCAGCGCCTGCTCGTTCGATGGAAACCTGAGATGGCCAGCAATCATGGCAAGTCCAGAGCACGAGGACGGCGTAGTCTTCGCCGTCGCTTGCTACCAGCTCAGGGACCTCTCTGAGGGGAACGACCCCTGGGATCAAACTGTTACTTTCACGGCTGTCGTCGCCGACCATCACGGCCCACGACGCGACTCGGAGGTTCACGAACGATTGTTAAAATTTTGCCACACCAGTGGAACTCTCACAGCCAGCTGGAGTAACTAAGGGCAGGTCCCGTTTCAGTTATGGTAGCGGAAGTAATTGTTATCTACCTCGCGAGGGCGGCGTTGGAACCAATGCTAGGGATCCGGGAAGATACACCGAAAGGACAGAAGGACGGGGAGAATTTGTCAAAGTTCCAAAGCCGATTCAGCTCAGCTTCGACCCTCCTGCCGTTAAAGTCTAACTGTCGCACAACCCTCTGAAGCATGAGAGTCAATGCTGCGAGGGGTTGCCGAAACCACGGTCCAGGGTCTTTGGTGATTGCGGACCTCTTCGACATCAGCAGCTCAGGAGGCAAGGGACGGCTTAAGACACAGTGCGGGCCCAGACTAGATTCACGAATCCCTTGATATTGGAAGCCGCGGTGTGATTTTCGAGGGGTCCATCGGACACAGTTTGAGGTTGCCCAACAAGCCGAAGCTCAGAGCATTGCCTGCACGGAGGGGACCCAGAGAAGTGGCCGCTTCGACTCTGAACAGAAAAAGCTGGTACGGAGCAATGCCATTGGTTTGGCAGCCCCCGGGTGTGTTGGCCTCGGGGCCCGACCAACAACGACGGGAGAATGCGGGCCCAGGCCCCATATCACCGGCCTCCAGCCCATCAGAAATCCTTATCTCTTGAGTGCCTACCCTTCGACAGGACCCAGAGTTGGAATATCCGCCGAGGTCGCGCTGCGAAAGGTCCGTTGAGAGGAGGAGGAAGAGGAGGAGAAGGAGGAGGAGGAGGAGTATGGGATGGACCATCTAGAGAACAAAAACAATGAAAAGACGGATAAGAAGAACAACGCAAGAAGATGCGCCCGGATGATCCGAGGTTTCTGCCTGGTTCTATTTTGGCCGCACGTCCGCCAGATAGGTGAGATCGGTCTTTCTAAAGAAAGCATTGTGGAGAAGGATGATGACGAAGAGAACGAGGGGGAGGAGGAGTACCAGAAAGGATGAGGACGAGCAAGAGGATAATGAGGACGGAGGTGGAGGAACGCCCTCGTCTGCGAGGGCCCGCTCCGCCAGGCGCAGCCGCAGCAGAGACCGCGACAAGCGACGGCGCAGGACTGCCTGCGCAAATGCGGATCGTTGAAGTCAGGGTCATCGTGATTTCTGTTGTTTTCGTCGTCAACTTCATCTTCGCCCTCTCCTCCTCCTCCTTCCTCCTCCTTCTCTTCCTCCTCGTCATCATAGTCATCATCATCTCCAGACCTCGCGTCTTGAGTAAAAATGCTGAGCAATACCCTCCACGTGCCCCGGGACTGCCGAAACCGACGGAGGATCAGGCGTTGTCCCCGAGGCAGTCGCGTGCACCTCCTCGGGTCCAGGCTGCCACAAAATTACGACAGCGGAGGTGTGGGCCCTTGTTTTTCTGCTCCTCGTCGTCCTCATTATCCTCCTTCTCCCTGGAGCGGGGCCATCGGTGGTGGAGCAGGCGGACCATCGGCGGTGGATCGGAGTGCTCTCGTGAGGGCGACGTTGCGGCGGCGATCTCAGCATCTGTCCACAGGACTGATGCACTTGATCGCTGGGCCACTTGGGGGCCCAGCAGGGAAGGGCGTGCCTGGCCGCGAGTCTCGCAGGCCAGCACGGGGTAGTCGGCCCCCACCTCCTGTCTTGGCCCTCGACAGACGGTGCACGCGGCAGACTGTCTGGCAGGGCCCGAGGCGCGGGCAAGCAGGAGCAGCCAGCCTCGGCCACGCCAGGCCCCTTTCGGCCAGCATGGCAGACGGGGCCGCACGACAGGGCCTGCCTGCGCAGCACTCGGGGCAGTCTGGCCTCCTTCGGGGCCTGAACCGACGTGCGCGCCTGAGGCCACACGCCCCGCGGGCACACGCCGGGACAAGGCCAGCGACCCCCGCCACGCTCCTGCCCCCGGCCCTCGACAGGCGGTGCACGCAACAGTCCGTCTGGCGCGGGCCGGGGCGCGAGGGGCGCGAGCGCAAGCGGGGAGGAGCCGGCCACGGGCCCGCGCGGTGCACCTGCGAAGCGAGAGCATTCGGGCATGCCTGAGGCCGACACGCCTCCAAGCACGCAGGTGAGACGGACAGTTCTGCACGGCGAACTACGCGCTGCTCCCGCCGGGGCGAGCACTCCTGCACGCCTGATGAGGCCGAGGCGCCTCCAGGCACACCAAGGGGTGCGTTCTGGAATGTGCGCAATCTGCCGAAGAACCTGCGCACAGCGTGACAGTGTGAGGCAATGCCGCGCAGCCGAGGGTGCGCACGGCCAATTGAAGAGTGGACTGCGCCAAGGCACGACGGCGTCGCCTCACGCTCACGGTTGCCAGCGCCATCGACGATGCAGAGTGTGCAGTCGTGCGTTTGGTGGCATGGGGGCCGGGCTCTTCGTCGAGCTCCGCAACCTGGGCCCATCCCACTCGCTCCGCGGCAGCCTCTCGCCTCCGCTGCTGCGCGGCGCCGCGCCGCAGCAAAACGCTCCCGGGCAGCTGCGAGCCGGCTCCTCGGAAGCGATGCCAGCGGCGGCACGCTGAGCGCTGTGCTGCGGGGAGCCGCGGCGGTCTCGGCGCAGCCCGCAGGCGGCCCCTGACCCTGCACGCCTTGCCAGTGGCTGGCGTTGGGCGCCCATGCCCAGGCAGCTGATGACCAGGCTCACGGTCGGGTCCGGCGTGCCAGTCGGTCACGGCCTCCGGCCTGGCTCCACGGCCAGGAGCACGGCGTGTTTGCCAGGCCTCTTGCCCGATAGTTCGACTCCGCGCCGCGCGCAGCCGCTGCACCGCACCGCACCGCGCCACAGCAGCACGCTCCCGGGCAGCTGCAAGCCCGCCCTCGGCGGTGATGACAACGGCGATGCGTTGCGACGTGCTGCGGGTGGCCGCGGTGGCCTCGGCGCGGCCAGCATCGGGCCCATGACCCTGCACTCGGCGGACTGGGAGTCCATGCCCGGTGGCTAATGACCACGACCAGGCTCACGGTCGTGTCTGGCGTTCCAGTCGATCTCGGACGACATGCCGGAGACTTTGCCCGTCGGGTCGTTGACGCCCTCATGCTCGCTGTTGTCCTCGCCGTCCCCGTCGCTCACGGACGCGGGGCTCCAGTTGGAGTTTGGGAGGAAGACGGGGCCCGGGGTCAGAGCTCGGACGCGGAGCCTCGACCAGTGGCGGCACAGTTGCGGCCTTCGTTGCACGAACGGCTACCGTGAGTTCCTCTCCAGCCTGCTCCGTCGCAGCTCCTCCATGGCGCCCTCGCGGCGTACTCGGCGTAGTCTTGAAGAACGGTCCTGGCGGCCCGGCGCGGGCGCGAACCTGGCGCCCGGCTCCGCCGCGAGGATCGCCTCCTTGCGTTGGTGGCGGCACGTCCTGCCCCGTCGTCCGGCTGACCGCTGCTGCTGCCGGCTTTGACGAGCCAAGGACCCCTCGTTCCTCGTGCGGCCGCCCGGGCGGCCAGCTTGGGCGGCTCGTGGCGCACGTCGCGGCCTGCTGGAGGGGTCAGCTTTCCTGCTCCCCGTCGTCGCTGGGCACGCGCACGTCGCAGTAGCCCTCGAGCCCAAACATATCCAACTCGTCGCGCTTCTGGAACTCGGCGCAGCTCTCCTCGCAGGCTGGTGCAGGCCCAGCTGTTCGACGTGGGGGCAGGTCGCCCGGCAGCAGGCCGAGGCGGCGCCTTCGTCGGCTGGTCCACTCACTCTGACCGAGCGCGTTCCACTACTGGCAAATTGCCTGCTCGCAAACGTCCGAACAAAAACAAACGACTGCCTCGATGTAATTCATGCATCGCAGATCCTGGCAAATCCCTCTCGGCAGATCCAGGCCTTATTGCGAGTAGTGGAACGCTTGCGAAGGAGGAGGAGGAGAAGGAGGAGGAGGGCGAGGAGGAGGGAGGAGGGAGGAGGGTGTAGGGAGGAGGATGGAGGGAGGAGGAGGGAGGGAGGGAGGGAGGGAGGGAGGGAGGGAGGGGGAGGGAGGGAGGGAGGGAGGGAGGGAGGGAGGGAGGAGGAGGAGGAGGAGGAGGAGGAGGAGGAGGAGGAGGGAGGAGGGAGGAGGGAGGATGGATAAGGGTTCTCTCTATGCACTCGGCGTCCGTCGGCAGCAGCCTGCGACGCCAATCCGCAGCATGGAGTGCCATGCGGACGTCAGCGCCCTTGGCCAACGGGCGCCGCCTGGCCGCGCAGCCCAGGCGGCACATGGCGACCGCCTATGGCTTCGGGGCCCCCCTCCTCCTCCTCCTCCTCCTCCTCCTCCTCCTCCTCCTCCTCCTCCTCCTCTCCTCCGCCTCCTCCCCCTCCTCCTGCCTCTCCTTCTCCCCCCCCGCCTTCTCCTCCTCCTCCTTCCCCCACACCTCCTCCTCCTACTCCTCCTCCAAAACCGCGGCAGGTTCCGGAAGAGCTCGCACAACCATTCGGCAGGTCGGGGTCGCTATTGTTGGCGTCGCCCCTGGTCGCGCGACAGCGAAGGCGCCGCAGGTCCCTGGAGCCTGCTCCGAGCACCTCGAGCCCGCAGCGACCGGGCGGCGCTGTGGGCAGGGAGGAGAAGGCGGAGAGCAGGGGAGGCCCAAAGAGCCCCATGGTGTCACGGGGTGTTCGTTCGGTGATGCGTGCGGTTCCCTCATCACCGGCCCCTTCGCTGCAATGGTCCAGCGGTCTCCCCTGCTTCGTGGCGCGGTGGGTCCCAGAAGAGGTCGTGACGCTTGTTCGCAAGCGCCCATGCCTCGGTCCGCTGCATGTCCTCGCTGGACGAGGCGCCCGTCAAATGCGTGCGCATGCGTGTATAGTATTTGTGGCAGGGGGGGCGATGTTGTTCGGACGGGGCTACATGTTCTTCGTTTCTATTTTTGCAGAGCTTCAAACAGAGCTGTAGGCGCAACTCGAGGTCAATGGTTTCCGATCCTGGTTCAAGCTTCCTGACAACTCGGCTGAATCAAATGCTGGTCGATTGAGACTTGCGTGCGTGTAATATCCAACGCCAGACGCGTACATGCTCCACGAACAACCCTGGCCATGGATGCCGAAGACTCGGCCACCGCGCCGCGCATCCCCTTCCAGACCCCACTGGTCAAAATCACTGACGGGTTGAACGCCTGGATCATCCGAGGCTCGTTGCACGGGAACCAGGCCCTGCGGACACGGTGAGACTTGCATCGGCCTCGTGACGGGAACGGCGCTCCCGCCTTAGCTGTTGCATGGAGAAGGGGTCTGAGGGGAAGGATCGGGCGGAGGGTGAGGGGCAGCACTAGCAGGTTGAGACAGAGGAATGGGTGGAAAAGGAGCAGCAGGAGGATGAGGAGAAGAGGATAGCAGGAGGACGGCGACGAAGAAGTGAGGATGCCGGCGAGGACCGGGACGACGTGGACGACGAGGTCGACGAGGGGACGCGGACCTCGACGTCCGCCTGCCTGTCTTGTTCAATCCGTGGCCCCAGAGGTCCCTGGGGCTAGTTTTTCGTCCCAGATCCGCGTGTGGTGGTTTCGGGTGCTGCCTGAGGCCCCGCCCGCCTGTGCTCTGTCTCCCCAATTAGTGCTTTGCGCGGCCCGCCTAGCTCTTAACCGGAAGAGGCTCGCTCTCGACCCGCACACCAAAAAAGTGATGGTTTCGGGCCCCGATCACTGGCCCCAGAGGCCGAAGCCAGTCGTGATGGTCCTGGGGCCTGCGGACGGGCCCCAGGGGCCGAAGCCCCGGAACAGCGCCCGCACCGAGCAGATCAGACCGTCGTTGGTGTTAGGCTCCAGGCTATGCAGACGAGACCGATGAGTAAGTCGACCCTGCTGAAAATCAAGGGTGCCCTTCTGTCCTGAGAGTCGCGACCCATGCTTCCTTACATCCCTGTCTTCCTCCGGCAACGTGGCCCTCGGCAGGCTCCTGTGTGTCCTCGCGCGCGTCCTCTCCAGTCAACCCCGGCTGCAGCCTGGGTCTTTGGCGGCCCTTCCGGATGATCCTGCGCCCTCTCGGCAGACGCCCCCGGCGAGGCGCAGCTGCTGGGAAGCAGCCCGAGGCGAGGAGATCTGGGGAGGCGCGAAGCTTCTCCGAACTCGAGGAGACCCTCCGACATCGAGGAGCAACTCCACGGACCGTCGAGAAACCTCCGAGATCGAGGAGGGCCTCGAGGAGGTCGAGGAGGACCTCGGACATCGACGAGATCGAGGAGCACCGCGGCGGAGCATCGGAACAAGAATTTCCGAGGTCGAGGAGGACGAGGACCTCGGACATCGACGAGACCTGGGCACGAGCGCGCGGGCTGCGCTGGGCCCCCTCCCCCCCCCCCGGCGTGGCCCCCAGGAGCGACAGCAGCAGCAGCCCGCCGCCGCCCGAGGCTGCCGCGAGCGCGGGCGCGCCGCGCAGGAGCCCCACCCCTGCGGCCCTGGCGCCGGCCGTGCGCGCGCCGGAGCTCCTCCTCCTCCGCCTCCGCCTCCGCCCTCGCCTCCTCCTCTTCTTCCTCCGCCGCCGCCGCCTCCGCCCTCGCCTCCACACTCGCCGCCTCCTCCTCCTCTGCCGCCTCCGCCTCCGCCTCCGCCTCCGCCTCTTCCTCCCCCCCCCTCCGCCTCCCAGCCTCTCCCTCCCTTCCTCCTGCGCTTTCCCGCTCCTTCCTCCTGCGCTTCGGCCTCGTCCTCTTGCGCTTCCGCCTCTTCCCTCGCCTCCTCGTCTCGCCTCTTCCGCCTTCCGTCGTGGCGTGGCCTCATCTCTGTGCCAGCGTTCGTGTGTCAGTTCATGTGGCGTTGCAGCTCCGTTGTCGCTCGAGAGGCTGTGTGTTTGGGGCCTCGTGGGCCGCGTCGGCGATGGCACATCCCCCACTGGGCTAGATTTAACTCGGGCGTGTCCCTCCACAGGAGGGAAATTCCCAAATGGTCAAAAAATGGTCTGGGTACGATTTTTCCTAGTATTTTGGATCTTGTTTGGATATGTTTTGACAATCATTCTTCCCCAAAAAACCCGCCTGTAGGGGGACATGCCCGACCTAAGGCTGAACTATCTCGTGGCGTTGGCACGGTCCTGGTTGTGTGATAGATTGTGCTACTCTGCTTTTCCAAACGGCACATTCCCAGTCAACCCGCATTGTGAGGATGAGCGGTTTTCCAAGGTTACCCTTGCATCCTCCCCCTTCGGCCCATCCTTGGCCGCTCTCGCTGGCCGCGCCCCGCTCGCAAAGTGTCGACGTGGCCCTCCAGGGCCCTTCTGAGACGGGTCGACTGTAGCACACATACCTCTGCGAGGGCGCGACAACCCGTGCCTACATCGCCTTCATCTCTTTGGCCTTTCTCACTCCTCCTGCCTATAAGTTTTCAGCGTGTGTCGTTCGTTCACTATGTCTTGTATTTTGGCTTAGGGGGGGATTGTTAACTTCGCCAGGTGGGCCGAGCCCACTGAGCCCGAATCTCTAGCCCCCCTGAGCCACTTGGGGCATGTGTAACGCACCGATTATCGAGTTGAAGGCCAGATCTAGCCCGCCTCGGCACCCGCGGATCGCCCCCCTGCCCCCTCAGCACCCCCAGCCCGGACCCCTCGAATCGGCGGATGTCAGGGAGCGTGGCCCTCGTTCGGCTCGCCCCCGCCCGAAGCTACCCCCGCGCGGACCCCGTGGCGCCGCGGAGCGACGAAGTCGAATCGGCGGACCTCAGGGAGCGTGGCCCTCGTCCGCCTCGCCCCCGCCCGAAGCCAGGCGGCCACATGCGAGCCCTGCCCCATTTCCCCGCGAGTGCTGACGAGGGGAGGCGGGGGGCGAGCGAATGCAGTAAAAACCCCACCCTCCCCCGTTCGGTAGACGTCACGTCGCGGGGTGGTGGGGTGGAGGTCGCGCGTGGCCGGCCCCCTCACAGGGTCGACGCGGCGGGCGTCGGGGGGCGTGGCCCTCGCCCGGCCCCGCCCCCCGCCCGAGGCGCCCCGGGGATCGCCGCGGGGATCGCCGCGGGCGAATCGGCGGGCGGCGGGGAGCGCGGCCCCCGTCCGCCCCGCCCCCGCCCGACGCGCCGCCGCCTCCGCCCGCGGCCCCCCGCCCGAGGAGCCCTGCGAGGGGCGGGCCCGGCCAAGGGGTGCGCCGCCCGCCGCCGCCCCGTCGGCTCGGCGCGCTCTCGGGGCCGGCTCTCCGGGTCGGGAAGGAGGCCACACCACGGAGCTCTGCGCCGCCGCCCCACGGTTTCTGTGGAGGGGGGAGGCGGGCTGCTCGTCGCTCGGGAGGTCCCGAGCGAGGTCACCCTCCTCCTCCTCCTCCCTCCTCCTCCTCCTCCTCCCTCCTCCTCCTCCTCCTCCTCCTCCTCCTCCTCTCCTCCCTCCTCCTCCTCCTCCTCCTCCTCCTCCACGATGCCCAACAGCAGTTCCTGTTCATGCTGAACAGGATTCGCTGTTCACGCCGCCGCGGCCTGTGTCCATTCGAGACAGAAGGCCGCCTGCCCAACAGCGGCCGCTGCTGGTTTGGGACAACATCTGTTGTTGGGCATTGTACCCAGTCTTTCGGTACCCATTTCGGGTGTCCAAAGAGGGGGGAGGCGGGCTGCTCGTCGCTCGGAAGGTCCCGAGCGAGGCCACCCCCGCCTCCCCCCCCCCCCCCCAGAAATCGTGGGGTGGTGGGGCAGAGACCCTCAGGCGGCCTCCTGATCGTGCTGCCTTGGCCTCCCTGACTGAGTTCCTCGACTTGAGCGGCGCGCTCCGTTGGAAGGATGTCGGTACAGTCAACGCGCACAGTAAGGACAAACGATTTTTCCAAGGGTACCCTTGGGCCCTTGCCTGCCCGACGACACTTCGTCAAGGACGGGGGCGGGTTAGGCCGCCTGCCGCCCAGAATACTTCAACTTCGGCCTCCAAGGGTCTTGCGCCCTTGCCACGCGTCCTCACTATACGTTTTTCACTGTAGGGGCTCCTTGATGGGGGCGACGCAGGGAGTCGGGCCGTCTTCGCCGACCGTGGCGCAACAGGGCGCCGGGCTGCCCGCGGTGCTCGGCGCGGTCGAGCCAGGTCTTCGACCATGCTGTTTTGAGCTGCCTGATTTTTCGCAGGCGGTGTTGCTCCCCCGAGGCCCCGACCTCTCGACGAAAAGTGAAGATCGGGCCCGACGAACGGGGGGGGATTGGGAAAGGGGGGGTTACGAAATTTGCTGCATGCGGCTGGTTTCGGCCCCACCGAGGGGCCCATTCCTCGATACATGGGCGCCTCCCGGCACCGGGAGGCGCCAAGAAAATCAGCTACGTGAGCTGATTCTCAAACCCCCCCTTTGCTATCCCCCCCTTTCGCCCGATCCGAGAAGAGGCTCAGAATTTGGGACTCCCTGGGATGCAAGCCAAGGGGGCTATTCGGGCGCACCCCCATCGAGGGTAGACGTGCCCATCATCGTATATCCCAGGGTTGGACCCCCAATGTTTGGACCAGTCGAAGACCGCCCACAGCCTGGGATAGGGGTCGGCATACCCCCTGAAATGATTTCAAGGACTTCGGCAAGAGTTCCCTGACTTGAACGGCGCAGGACATGGGGCCGTCTGCACCGGCACTGGCGCAGAAGCTGCCTGCGTCAGCTGGCCGCGTGGTCCACGCCCTCGTTTCCACCGTGCTGTGCCGCGCTGGCGGCCCGCGTGAGCCGCCGCGCAAGGTCGTCATGCCATCTCGCGCAAGGCTTAAGTCGGGCCTGTCCCTCTGCAGGGGAAATAGTCAAACATAGTCGGGGAACTTTTTTTTGTATTTTTTGACCGTTTTGGAATATTTGTTTAGTATTTGTTCATTCTTCGTCCAATATCCCCCTGTATGGGGGACAGGCCCCCTTGCGGCCCGCGTGAACCGCCGCGCAAGGTCGTCATGCGGACGAGGAGCAAGGGGAGTTCCTCCTGGTCCTCTAAATGCAGATGCGGAGGAAGAGGAGGATGCGGAGGATGCGCATGGAGGAGGAGGAAGGTCCTCTTCCTCCTCCTCCTCCATGCGTGTAACTTGTCCTAGCTGATCATATATGCTCCGCCGCGCAAGGTCGTCATGCCATCTCGCGCAAGACGTAAGTCGGGCCTGTCCCTCTACAGGGGGATTATCCAAAAGTTGTCAAAACGTAGTCGGGGGATTATTTTTTTGCATATTTCAGGGCATCTCTGGAGTATGTTTTGAGTCTGTTTTATATGTTTCGTCCAAATCTCCCTGTAGGGGGCAGGCCCGACCCTCGGGAAGGGGCCGGCTTGGGTCGGCTCGGCGGCGGTCCGCTCTGGAGCTGCGCCAGTGCGCACAATCGGCGAGGGCCCGGCTCGGGCCCCGTTTTCGGTTCCGGGGTGGTCGTTCGGGCCGGGTCGGTTTCGATGCAGGAGAAAAAAAGCACAGACGTAGTGAATCGTCGATTCCCCTGAGAATGTGGGGAAATATGGGAAGAGGGGCGGAAGACGAACACCCAGAAACTATGCGTACATCCTGGGCGATGCTTAAGGAAGCGTTAGTTTTCGGCCAGGGTCTCGATGACTCTTGATGTTTCAGTGTGGATCCTAAGATTGTGGTAGAAGTTCTAGGTTTTGATTCGAATTCTGAGACTATTAATTTCTTAACCCATGATTGCTTGAGCATTTCGCAGACATAGTGAAAAAAACATACAGGCACAATTGATCGTCGATTCCCCCGAAAATATAGGAAAAGATGGGAAGTGGGGGGGAAGACGAGAACCTAGAAAATATGGGAAGACATGTGGGTAATCCGTTGATTTGTGTGTATTCATTTGTGTGTCCTGGGGCCCCTTCATCGATGCATACTCCCAGCAGCTTAATAGAAGGTCGGGGGGGCATCACCCCCGCCGACAGCCCCACATCGACCCCTGTCGCGGGCAGCCACCGCGCGCCGAAGGCGCTCCGACCCCCGTTGCGGCGCGACGACGAAGCGAGGTTGACCTCCGTCGGGGGGGTACCCCCCCCGAGCATTCTCTTCGGGTGGAGGGCAACGGGTGAAATCTGAAATGCCGTTTCGATTGATTCTCGAGGCCTGCATCTGCAAACAAGGCGAATCGCAAAACGACATGCTGTTCGAGGTGCAAACGCCGCCCCACCCTAAGAGAAAATGCTCCCCCTGAGAAAGTGCTCCCCACGCATATTAAGAAACCCACAGTTCGGTCGTTTGGGTCAGTTCGGTCATCAGAGCGTGAATTACCTACCCCGCTTTCGCTTCCAGGCAAAACCGAGCCATACCACGCGCCTCCTCGTCAAGCGGCCTGACCAGTACAGGCTGCAATTTGGCATCGTCTGGTATCTCTTGGAAGCGAGGGTGGTCAAAAGCGAGGTAGGTCTGTTTCCCCCCTGTATAAGAAAATGCCCCCTGAGAAAATGCTCCCCACGCAGATTGAAACAAACCCACAGTTCGGTCGCTCGGGTCAGTGCGGTCAGCCCGGCCTGGGCCCCCCGTGGACCCCTGGCCCAAGGTGCCCCTGGCCCAAGGTGCCCCCCGCTTTCCGCCCAGTTTTGAAGCCCCTGGGGCCCTCTGGGCCTCGTGCGGGGTGCCCTGGAGGCCGTGGGGGCCTCCTTGGAAATCCTGGGGGCACCTTGGGCCAGGGGCACTTCTATCAGGAGGGGAAGAAACACACAGACACAATTAATCGTCGATCCCCAGGAAAATATTGGAAAATATGGGAATTGGGGGAGAAGACAAAAACCCAGAAAATATGGGAAAATATGGGGACTAATTTTGTGTGTATTTATTTGTGTGTCCTAATTTCCCTTTATTCTAGCAACACCCGACCTGTGGGCCCCTTCGGGCCCCACCTGGGCCCAGTGGAGCCCTCCGCTGGGCCTCACACTGGGCCCCGCCGCGCGCGGCCGGCTCGGCTCGGCCGGACGCGGCGGAGGAGGAGGAGGAGGAGGAGGAGGAGGAGGAGGAGGAGGAGGAGGAGGAGGAGAGGAGGGAGGAGGAGGAGGGAGGAGGAGGAGGAGGAGGAGGAGGAGGAGGAGGAGGAGGAGGAGGAGAAGGAGGAGACGGAGGAGGAGGAGGAGGTCCTGAGGCTCTTGGGGGGCCCCGGGGAGGTCCTGGGGAGGTCCTGGGGAGGGGCCCTGGGAGGCCCTAGAGGGTTTTGCAAGTCTTGGGGAGCCCTGGGGGGTCCTGGAGTTCCCAGGGCGTCCTGGGGTGTCCTGGGTGCCCTGGGGGTCCCTGGAGGCTCGAGCTCCACGGGCCCTGGGGAGTCCTAGAGAGGGTCCTGGGAGCCGCGGGGGGGTCCTGGAAGCCCTGGGGCTCCGGGGCTCCTCCTCCCCCTCCTCCTCCTCCTTCTCCTCCTCCTCCTCCTCCTCTTTCTCCTCCTCCCTCGCTCTGGGGTGCCCTGAGGGGTCCCGGGGGGCTTTGGGAGGCCTTGGAGGGCCCGGGGAGGGCCCGTTCGGTTCCAGCAGGTTCGGTCTGGGCCGGTTCGGTCTGGGCCAGTTCGGTTCCGCCAGGTCCAGTTCGGTTCGAAGTGGCGGGTCCCGGTTCGAATTGACGGGTCCAGTTCCGAATGGTTTGGTTGGGGCTTTGGTTCGGCCTGCTCGGGTGCACAAGCCGCCAGGTCATGGTTGCAAGTTCGGTTCAGAGCCACCCTGCTTTCTTCGTATCACCCATCTAATTTCCTTGAGTTGGGTTTTTTTTTCTGCCGATATTCAATCTGGCTGTGCTTCCCCGATTTCGGCTGCTGGGGCTTATAATTCTGGCCCATTTCGGCTCGGCTCGGTCGGCTCAGATCTCCGACTAAGTCTTCTACGTTCTGCTTGGTTTCTTGGATGTCGGCGTGACTTCCTTGAGTACGGCTGCATTTCTGCTGCAATTCTGGAGTCCTCGACTACAGTCAACGCGCCTAGTAAGGACGCGTGCCCTCCTCTAGGGTACCCTTGAGTCCTTGCCTCTGCGGCCTGTCCTTCGCCGTTTTCACTGGCCGCCCCCCGCCCCAAAAGTCCAACTTCGGCCTCTAAGGGTCTTGCGTCCTTGCCACCCGTCCTTAATACACGTTTTGACTGTACCCACCTCTTGTCCGTGCCCACTTCTGGCGCGCCGGTCGTGCGAGAGGTGGGCGTTTTGCCCAGAACCACCGCCCCGGGGGGATCGACCTTCGTGGACCTCGGGCCGTGGACGT